ATCAAAAGAAATTTATTATTTACTATAAAATTTATTAAAGTAATCAAATCTCATAAATAATAATAATAATAATAATAATAATAAAATTATAAAATTATCTTCAACGCTCATAAATACTTTAAAATTTTGCCAAATTTTAAAGCCATAAAAACCAATAATTTCTTCATATTAAAACCTAAACTTAGTATTAGGGTTTTCCAATGGTCTATTTTATGTTGGTCGACCCTATTAATGATCACAACCTTAATTCTTCTTATTAGTTTCAACCAAGGCATATGTCTCATACCTATTCCCCTTCAGAAAATTACCAAACATGACAAGCCCCATTACAAAACCTAACCACATACCTCACTAGACACCCGTTAGTTTTCTCGGACGAACTCATGAGCAGGGTTCCATATGAATTCGAGTGGACATGTTTGATGTGGCTATTTTTCAAAAGTAAGGCGAATTTGAATGCCCACCATTAAGAGAGGCATCTCAAGGATGAGATTCCATCTATTTACATGTAGAACAAATAGGCCTCTATTGAACGTGAGAGCTACTCAATCCACACTAATAAAGCCCAAACAATTCTTCCTTCAGGCCTTAGAGATCTATCAAACAAGTCGTCCACAACATACATCTAACTCAACTGACCAGGAGACCTGGCAACCCATTGACAAACCAACTACATTACTTGAGTCCATGTCGGTATAAAGTTTATATTGCACCTGTAGTTATTTGTATTTTTAATAAATGTGTTGCTTCAATATCATGCTTAAGAATGAAATACCCAACCTATACATGTGTCCAAAACTTTGCCCTTTCTTCTCCTTTTCTATAATTATGTTCCCTTGAACCTCTTCTAATGGAAAGTTCCCCCTGCATTGCATCTCTTTTTAACTCTTCACCCATCCTTCGAGTCAATAAATTTGAAGTGTTATAGGCAAATTGGGTTCTAGCAATACAAACAAACAAAATGAAACAAGATTCATGTATTAATTTAGCAAATCGCCCAAAAAAAAAATTTACTAAAATTTAATTGCTCGAAAAATGCATTAAATGGTATCAATTAATGAACTGAAAAGAAGTTATTCAAAGACAAAATCAATCTTTCTGAATGCCAAAACATAAATAAAAAAGAGGGGGAATACACCTCTTAGTTAACGGTAAACCTCCCAACCAAAAAAAAAAAAATAATAAGATTTACTTTGAGTGTGACCAAATGGCATATTTCCAAAACAAAAATATAATACACATATCCTGCTTTTGTTGAATTACCAAACCAAAATCAACCCATTTTAATTTTTTAATAATATGTTGAGTGTAGTGGACTTGCACCGCTCCCATTTGAGTAAAAGGCAACGACTTCAAAACATTTGGGGAGAGTGCATCAATTAACTAACACATAAGATTAACATATAACCCAATCACTGCATTTATTAGCTAAGACAACCTTGCCCTTCACAACAACCTTACCCTCAAGGTCGAGCAAACCAAGAAGAAAATGATGAAACTGCAAAATTGGAGCCAACAAAAGTGGAGGACAACATTTAGATAAAAAAAAAGCAAATTTGGACGATCGCTGAGGCTTAGTACTTGGCACAGGGTTTCGAGGCAAATCTAGGGCCCGTTTTGGGCGGATTTTTTCTCGCAACGCGGCATCCCCCTTGTTTGATCGCGGCGGCCCCGACGAGCAGCAGAACGTGGGCAGTCAAATCCCTCCCATGGTTCGCTTTTACTACAAGGTTTTTCTTTTTACTTTTACATGTTTGCCCTTCTCCCGACCTTATTCACTCCGCCTTCACATTTTTTGTTCATTCACCATTTTCTGCAAAATTTTGCACTCTGATCCTAATCCTCCATTGATAATAGCGAGCTTGTCTGAGTCGTACTCAATGAACGCTTCCCTTAATTTGTCATTCATCTTGCATTTTTCTTCTCATTAAACCATGAATTTCTGCTTCTGAAGTGTCAAAATTATGGTTGTGATAGTTCTGTTATAAACAATATTACTAAACATGGGCAAGATGGTCATTTGTCCAGAAACAACTACCACACAACTATTTTCAATCAGCTGAAACAAACAGTTAATCAACATCCCAACAGCAGCTTCCTCGGGCAGTGTTGCTGCAACTGAAAAGTTGAGAAACTGCAACTGCCCTAAACAGACCCTTTAAGAGTAGACAAATGAGAGGTAGATCTGGCGGGCGGGATGAGAAGATGACGGTGATTCACGACTAGGAAAGAATAACTGAAGACTCCTTGCTAGACTTCAATAGCGAATGAACGCAGGATACATGAACACGAATAGATTTGTTACACTGGTTTGGGCATCTGAGCAATATAAATAGACCTACGAGATTGGAGATATGAGATAGAGAGTAAGACCTTTAAAATCTACTTGAACTTGACTATCATTGTCAATAAAGATTTGGAATACACCACCAGCAGGACAGCGAAGTCGATGAGGGCAACATTATTAGCAACAAAACTAGCATAAATAAGACCTATTCAACAGAGATATATATACACACATGGCGTCGTCTTCCTCGCTCGGCTCTGCTAGGGTTTCGCCCGATGGCGAACCCTAGCAACAGTTACGGCTTCGTTCCTCTCAGGCGTCTTCGCGCTCGATTCCGTTCGTCTCCCTTGCTTCTTCTCCGGCTCTGAGACGAGGCACATCTCATCGCTCGAGATTTTCAGGCTCTACGGTCGGCGTGTTCTGCGGCTCCATCTCGCGGGTACAGCTTGTGATTTTTGCATTCTCTGCGCTCATCCCATCTCACAACGTCCTCACTTTTTACATGATTTTTTCCCTCGTCAGCTTTCTTCTCTGAACGCGACACCTATCTTTGAGGATGGCTTCGAACAAATCATATGCAGCCCTTGTCGGTGTCCACGCCTCAAGCACACACATCAAAATCGTCATCTTTCTCTCATTTGTTTGAGTGGGTGGAGGACATCAAGAAACCTGGTAGGAAGAATGGGAAGTACGTCATCTATTTTACAGAAGCTGAATGTACTCAACATTCATCCTCCTGTCGTCTGGATTTGGTTGCGAAATTTTTATAAGGTCATCCCAAAATGGAGCTCATTCGCAAATAATTTGAACTTATGCATCTTGTTGGAGAATGAAAGTTGAACTGTTAGATGGGAGACACATTCTTATTCAAATTAGTAATGAAGAAGATTACATGCGCTTATTTGCTAGAAGAATAATATGGATTGATAACAGAGCAATGAAGATTCTGAAATGGTCTGTAAATTTTGACCCACAGAAAAAACCGTCAATCATTTCGGTTTAGATTCGTCTCCCTGATCTGAAATTTCATTATTTTTCTCAAAAAGTATTGTATTATATTGTCTCAACTTATGGGAAACCACTCAAGACGGACATTCCTACTTTTAATCTGTCACGTCCTTCTGAAGTCAGAGTACTTGTTGAAAGAGACATCACTTCACTCGCTTCTGAGGAAATCTGATTGGACACACAACACCATAGATACTGGCAGAAGGTAGAGATTGAACATTTTCCGTTATATTGTTCGAACTGTCGTATGTTCAGACACTCCAGTTCTCATTGTCACCATCTACACCCCAACTCAGACCAAAAAAGCAAACTGCTCCGCTAGAAGCTGTGATTCTATCTCCTCCTGATCAGCTCTCAGTTTTTGACACTATTGATCAACAGAATGATACCTCGGACGACGTGACTATCCCCGAGAGGCAATATGACAACTATTCAGACTCTAGTTGTAGCTCCCCCATCTTTAGAACCTCCTATCGTGGGGGAGAGAAAGTCTTCAGACCCCGTCTGCCCTAGAGCCTATCACTGATAATACAGGTGGAAATGTTTCTACTGCTTCACTACCACATCATCAGGTCCAAAAATATATTAATATTAGTCAGGCTCATGGGAATCAAGATGTGCAACGACCTACACCTGTCCAACCACCTTTCGAATCTACTGATCAGATGAGTCAATCATCGGATGAGGAATGATAGGTCTACACATCTAGGAGGAAGAAGAAGAATGAAGACATTTAAGCTCGAAAATCTAATGGATGATACTTTGGTTACTACGGGCAATGATAATCACATTGCCAATTTGTTAGCCGGCTCACTTCCGAGAACTAGAGGCTGGCGGACTACAACGTGACGACCCTAGATGAGACGACCCTAGCCCTTTTGTGCCCTTTTATAGCTTTTTGGTTTTTTACATTTATGTATCTTTGTTTTATCTGAATTTTGTGTTTTATCTGAATTTTGTGTGTGTTGTATTGTATGAGTTAGACTTTCTTTTAGATCATCTCATATAACATTTCAGTATCTTTTCCGTATTAATATATTTGCCCTCGGGCTTTTTCTATAAAAAAAAAAGACCTATTCAACAGATCAAACAAATTACATGCATGTAAATAATTTTGATAGAAGATCCTTTAATGACATAAAACCAAAGAATGAATACAGAACACATATTACAAAAGATTAATCTGCAAAGCAACGTTAGCTGCAAAAGTTTTCTGATTGAAATTCTACGATTACGAATTGGACAAACTTTGGACTAGCTGCAGATAGGGAAACAAACATTTTTTTTAGAAAGAGGTGCCCAAGCGAGTGTTGAGGGCTAGCACTTTTTCCATCTATCCCTTTGCATACTTTAATCTAATGCATGTCCACCAAAAACGGGCCGCGTACTTCTTACATCATAAACAAAAGAACTCTGAATACTGAAAAGAATGCAATATTTCACAATTACACTAGTAGATTTAGCATATTCCAACGCTGAGGAAAAACATCGTTGAAAGGATAGGCTAAGACAACAGAGGCAATGAAACCCCTTCAAGAGAAGAAGATTCTTCTGAAAGAGAGCCATTTCTAAAAATAAGAGCTACTTGACTGCCTAATCCTGGCCTCATTTTCAATCTACATCATTCACGTCACTGTGAATCACATTTATACACATAGAACAAGAACATATGAAAATTTAAAAAATAAAATACAAATAAAAATACCTCGATGAGGTGCCTATCTACAGATCCTTCCATTACCCCCAAAAGATCAGTGAGAATAGGAGCTTGGATCAGAGCTATACATATCAGTGGTGCATGTGTCCTCATTGGGAGCTGGTATCTCTTCTTTCCATTTCAGAATTTCTCTTGCATACCTAATAGCAGCATCCACAGAATCAGAGTCCAAACCATTTGAGAGGGTCACATAAAGCTTCCTTCTTGTGAGGGAATAGAAGAGCCTCTTGAACTTCACAGCTACATAGTGGAAGGCAGTTTGAGCTAATGTGGCACAATTATTGGCATTGCGACTTCTCTTGTTGGGATAGCGGCTAATCACTGGGTCAAAGTCATCAAACCAATCACAGGTGGTCAGTAGGGTATTTTCGATCATCTGCTCTAGCAGATCAAATTTGTTCAGTACAAGAAGAAAGTCCATTTCATGAAAAGTTGGATGAGACAGAAAGCTCTCAAACAGCTTCTTGTCCTCCATCATCTTGTTTGTGATTTCACCACCTTCAGTTTCATATACTTCGCCATAGTCGCTCAGGGCAATGCAGAAGATTACAAGCTGTACATCCTCAAACATATCAAGCCACTTCAAGTTCGTTCCCAAGCCTTTACTATGAAGCCTCATAAGTTGAAACCTGTGAAAAAACGCTGCTCATATTCAGTGTTTCAAAAAAAACATCCTCACCTATAGTTCGTTAACAAAGCAAGTGTAAAAGCTGAAAAATAACAAACTCTTCTGTCAGCTGTTAAATTTTGACCAAGGAAGTCCATGCATGCCTGTTTAAATAAGGAATCTTATCTTTCATTCTAGAACTGAGAAAGCAGCTTTGTAAAATTCATAGTGCAAAAGGTTCTATCAAATTGGAATAGATGGTCAGCTAATCCATTCAAGCAATAGCAAAATAAATCCCAACTAAAGCAGCTCATGACAGTAATTCACATGATTGAAAGAAGCGTTATAGTTAAGACCATATTTGGCACACAAGCACTGAGCATACATAGTGCCTACCTTAATGGTGCATCCTGCTCAGTAAACTCACTTCCACCGGAGTCTGACTGGGGGTAAAAGAATTCCATACAAGCTAATCCATTTGTTGATGCCATTCCCTCCGCATAAAGAATCTCCAATTTAGAAGGCTCATAGTCAACTCTGGATATTTCAACCACCTGAAGAAGTGTTGGTTGATAACCAAATAAAGCACAAAATAAACAACAATCTTTCCCGGGGACAAAATTCAATATAAAAACGAAAAAAGATGCTGATTCAGTGAAAGATCGAAGCTGTCAATAAAGTTGAATCAAAATAGAAAATTATCTAATAATCAATTATGATTTTTTTAAAGGCACAAAATTAAAATCAATTTTAATTTATAGGTCACAGTCTAGTAATGACAAAAGAAGCCACTGTATTTCAAAATAAATAAAAAGTAAGCCGTAAAAATCAGATTCACCAATAAATATGAAGTGTATAGACAGTTTCACTGCCAAAACATATTTTAACTCCCAACAGCTCGCTCAGGCAAAAATGAAAAGTAAACGTTATGTAGACAATATTTGGCCTTGTTTGGTTATCTTCTCCTTATATAAAAATTTGTTTCAAAGATGGTTTTAAAAGAGAACAGTGTTTTAAAGTAAGGAGGAAAAAACAATTTGAGATAGCATATAAGTGGAGTTTCGTAGGAAACCATTTTATATTAGTATTAAAATCAAACGGATTTCTCTAAAACAGAAAGCAATATATAAGCTGTTTTAAATAAGGCCTTAAACCCAGAGGCTTGTGTTTCTCACACATGAAATGTCTGAGATGAGCCTACTTTAAAATCAATGGATGCGAGCATCTTTTGACCAATACTTAAATGTTATAGCACCAGAAAACTATATGATGTACTATTGATACCAACAATATATACAAACCCAAATATATTCCCCATTGGAAAAAAATAACAATAATAGTAATAATAATAACAACAACAACAATAACAATACTTAAATGCATTCATTATAAATGGAATGTCAAACTAGGTTCAATTACAAAAAAGTAGTACAAAAGAGTTAAGCTTTAGAATGATCATAAATGTGAATGCTTGAATGATGACAACCAAATGAAACCGAAGCAATCTTAGACCATATAATGGCATGAGTTTAAATTAAATTTGAGAAAACAATTTCATTTAATGATAAATAGACTGCAGATTGTCTATGATACGAACTCATCTAAACTGCCATGGTCAAAGCAAAAAAAAACCACCGTTACAATTAATTATCTACAGTTGAAATAGAAATAGAGAAAAGGGAAAGCAATCCTCTCTTAATTAACAAAAGCAGCACTTGTGCAAAAAAGCAAGGCTAGTACAAAAAGATGACTGCTCCAACATCATGATAACATAAACAAACCACAAAACTAATTATGTTGAAGCTACAGTAAGACGAAGAAATAAAACTTAATCCTTTTTAAATTATTTGTTGCTCAAGGCTTAAATAGAAATGAAACATAATATATAACCATAAATACTTAAACAATTAGCCATGCCCTTTAAGATTAAAGGCCATCAGGAGAAAACTAAAAATAAGTGTCATTAAGCTATATCACAATTGTCTTTTAAGGTAAACGCTATATCCTCTAATAAAATAAATACAATTTAATTATCTAATTTTGGGGTAATTAACTTCACAGATCTATCGGAGCTTTATCAGCAATAAGAGCTAAATGTAGAATCCCAGAAATCTGTGATCTACTACGATGGTTGTATAGAGTTTTAATGAGAAAAATGTAAGCTTCCAAAAAGTAGGAAAGTGCATTAGAAGATAAAAATTGAAGAGCTAATGTGCTGAGATATGGATTACTTCCACTCAAACTTTGATTCTCCTTCTGTGTTTAATTCTGAGGATTTTTCGCAGTAGACCTTCTAATTGATAATCCATAATTTGGAAAATAAATTAAATCTGGACAAGGAGAGTTTGCTAGAACACTTGTCAGAATCAGAAAGAAAACTGCCAAACAAGATTTTCACATCAGAAGGATGGGTGTTGCGTGTGTCGACTACATTAGCATCTGTGAGAATAGGGCCATGTGGGCTTGTGGAGAAAGAGTGGAGCAGGGTGGCATTAAGTGACGATAGACAATGGTAAGGTCAATAAACATGACTGATGGCCCCAACAATAGCCATCAATGGATGGAGTGATGGTGATGGGAGAAGCTAAAAAGGATCTATTGAGGGGAGAAGAGGTTGATTTAGTAAATAAGTTTTATATTTAAAAGATAAACTTGTATTTTGGTGTATTTACAATAGCAAAATGATTTGAAGTTTATCAATGGAGGCTAATTACAATCTTTGGATGCCATAACTTTTTGTAAAATCTAGGACATCTCACTTCAATATTAATCCATAATATTATATACATCATGAAGGATAATGCTGATATGATTACCTTAGGAGGGAGAAGTGAATTGCATGCCATGTTTTTAATGCATTGTATACGATAAAAGAAAGACATCTAGGGCTGATCTCCATTAAGAGTAGATGTGCTTTCATTTGATAAGTCAGCAAGTTTATAATATGTGATGAATCAATGTGGGCTCAGGAAATTCATGCCTAGCTCTCCCAATCTTTTATTATTTCGAGTCCAATTTCAAGAGGTAGACCTAATCGACACTATCCAAAAATTTCACCCTTAATTTGTGAAGTCTTTAAGATCTGATGTCCAGTTCACATAAATGCAAGCCCATATAATTTATTACCTCTAATGATTAAAGAACTTTTGATTAAGAGAAATCATTAAACGTGAAGTACTTAGCATATAGTAGCAATAACTTTGGTTTAAGATATAAAAAATTTCACTACCTTTAGTTTTAGAGCAGATGATGTGGGGAATGATAACTAAGATCTCATGATTCTATCACCCGCGTTATCATGTACTATAACCTTAGTCAAGAGAGATTATTGACTCAACCTAACTAAATGAACTTGTTAACAGCATGGGTAATATGTCTAAGAGGACATTATAAACTTGGGGTGAATGTTTGTCGACGAGAAAAATTTAAGGCGAAATTTAACTAATAGAGGACATTTTGTTTTAACGCGTGCACCTTATGATTCAAAACTCAATGAGGCTGAGCCCTTAATGAATATTTAAGATTTGGTTATAATGAAGGATAATAGTGCCATTTTATAACAATCACCTTGTCAGAGTCTTAGCCGCTCCTTTATTGTGGTATCATTTGATAGTGAAAACACAATGAGATGTCACATGCCCCATCATTACTAGCATGAGATCTTTTGAAAGTGACAATAGTGGTTACTTGACATGATATTTAGCTTTTTATGGGCTGAGATTATCTTAAATTTATCACACGTAGCAAACTATTGTGGATAATGGATGAATTTTATTCTTAACTTTAGATTGTGTGTGTGTGTGTGTGTGTGTGTGTGTGTGTGTGTCTATATATATGTGTGTATATATATGTGTGTGTGTGTGTATATATATATCTATATATATATATATGTATATGTATATGTATAGATATATATGTATATGTATGTAGGTGCGCGCAAGCGTGTATTGAATATATCTAAATTTAGGCCTCAAAATAATTTGTATAATACTGAGAGGTATTCAACGAAAGTCCCCTCCAATTAAAATTTATTATTAACATAGCCAACATTAAGGTAGATAAATGACTTGTTTTTTTTTTATTTCTTTAGACTTTATCAACTTTTTGCTCGCTTGTAAAGGAATAAATCAAAAAATTGTATGATGCTTTAATTCTCTTAAATGCTTATCATGCTTTAGATCTTATTGACTTTATTCCATGAATAAAGGATTAGGTGTGTAGATTTAGACTAGTTATATTTGGCAAACATGACTAGAATTTCTTTTCCTTTTCCTTATGTTTGAGAAAAGAACTAATGTTGTTATGTGTAAAAAGAGATAAAATGTCTTTTTTTATGACAAGAACATATAATGCGTGGTCAATCTAGCAACTATAGTTCTTATGATAAGAATCAAACTTCTCAAGTAAATCTTATGACTCTGCTCTATACACCGAATTGAACACCATAAAGGGTGCATAACTATTCATGAATTTAATTTTTAAAGGGGAAGTTCCCAAAGTTTCAAATATATGTATATTTTTTAGAGCAATTGCATGCCTTTCAATGAGAAGTTAAACTAGAGCTTTAGTCTAATTGATACCACAATGCATATAAGATTAAGTACAGTTGGAAAGAGAAACTTTTCCAGGAAGTTGACATAATTCTAGGATGAACCATTGAGAAACAACTAGCAGGCTTCTATAACTGTAATAAAATAGTATTATTTTGTGGTGAACCATCCTGTTGTAGAGCAGACCATCCTATCATAGAACACACACACACCCACACACACAAAATAATATGCACAAGCCATGGAGTGTTTTGAAAATAGTCTGTTAAGATTAAGATTTATCATCAATAAGGCTATGATTGAAATATGTAATTGGTGTTGCTCTGGAATTTGTTAATTCTACTCATCTACGTGCAGAGGATTGGATTCATAATTTGTATCATACTTTAATTCACTTTAATACTTACTATTTTCTAAACCTTGTCGGCGTTACTCAAGCATAGAAAATTAGGTCAACAAATTAGGACTTAAGGTATTATTTTATAAATATGATGATGAGAGTTTCCATTTTAAAATGGTTTTCATTGAGAACGACACTAATGACCTTATGCAAATGTAGTGATGCCTTTTTTTTTCATGAGATGAAAATCAAATTCCCAAACCAATTTTATCGACTCCAATCAAAATGAGGATAAGTATCAAACTCATTGAGTGGGAGATATGACTATCTTATAGGAAGAGTAGCCAACCTGATAGCATGCATGTTTATTGCTGAATATCATTTTGAAGGACCACATTTTTTAGAGCAAATGCATGTTGAAGTGTATTAATTTGAGTTTAATTTATCCTTTAGTCTATGCAGTATTATGTAAAATTAAGTTTTAAGTATTTAATATATTCATTGGAGCACATGAAAACATTTAGTTTCACAGATTTGAATAGAATTTAGAGAGCTTAAATGCTTTTAAAGAAACTTGTATAACTTTCAATAGATTGTATTGAAGTTGAAAATGCTCATGAAACATAAATGTATAACTTGAAATTATCGAAATTTATAAATAGGA